TCTGTCCTCTCACACCACACCCAGGCCTGACAGCTTCATATAAAGTACGTGGCGGAGCAGCAGAGGCTCTGACTCACACAGCACCCGTTATTAAAGGCCTCCAAACCTGTTGAATTAGCCCACTTACCCAGACAGCTTAAGGCATCAATCTACCACTTTGTAATATGGCATTACTCCACACACCCATGACCTGGTTTCTCTTCTCATAATTAAATCACTGATTGTAATAAAGTTCAATTACAAATCATGTCCTTGAGCAATCCGGGTCTGTAGTAAAACCAGGAAACAAAGCTCTTGGTCCTCAGAGGCCGGTGCTGTCTGAGAAGCATATGGCCTACTTTCTGTACTACAGAACATTACAGCTCAGTGCAAAAATCTGTCCAAAGCAAAAACTGCTAAAAGCTGCTGTTGTTTGTGTATGTTTTGAGCAAAGATGCACATGAGAGCGAGAGATTCAAAGAGCCTGACTGTTTTCTCACGTCCCATTGCTCTCCTGTACTTCTCTATTGCGGCGTTTAGACATGTCCAGACATTACAGCGCAGGGAATGGTCGGAATGGAAAGAATCTTGGGGCATTCCCAACGCAGAGAAAGACACTCCTCATATCCATTACGAGCGAAAGATGCACCTGAAACGATCTGTCAATGACGTGTTTGTTTAAGATACAACAAACTGCATTCTGTGTTTGTTTTGCTGTTTTCATAAACATTCCAAAACAATACTAGCAAACGTTTTTGTTTTGCCCCATAGGACATGTCTATCATTTCAGACATCAACATGCGGCCTACATTTGGTTAGAAAACATGTCATCTTTTGCAAACTGTAAGAAAGAACCAGATTTGACGCTTTGGGCTGAGAGCTGATTGGCTGACTGAGGGTGGTGCTTTCTGTCTGAAAAAAAATGAAATATATAGTGATAGAACCAAACTGTTTTGAGCGCAAGGAACTTTAGTAAAGAATTCAGTGCATGTCAAACTTGGGCCCACTGGCCAGAGATCATTTTTAGTGGCCCATGAAATGACTTTTCTCTGGAAAACAACCAGAGAATTTACTGAATTGTAGACCCAACACTGTTAAATAATTAAATATAAGAAATAAGTAACTCAGCCTTCAATTACAAATCTTCTTTACATTTCATCCACATCTCATTTTGTTCAAAACATTATTAGATAAGACTATCTCAACTCAGGACAAATGATGTAAAAATTATTATAATTTAGAAAAATATATAATTTATACTTTTGCCTTCTCCAGCTTCTTTTTTATTTTATTTGGCCCCAGACTAAAACTTGGTGGTTTGAAGGTTTAGTACCCCAGCTTTAACGTTGAAGCTTCAATGAAATCAATATAGTCGTTATGTTAAATGAACTGATAAGACAACTACTACCACCATTTGTTCTTAAAGGTATAATTATAAGTAAAATTATACCTTAATTTGACATAGGTTGGCTGAAAACTTTTATTGCAGTGTGTGGGCCAGAGCAATCGACATAGAATGTTAGTGTAATATCAGTTTTTTTCCATTGGAATGCATGTGGAATCTAAACTACAGGGTGTAAAGGGGCGCAGTGGGGTTTAACTGCCGCGATGCATGTGTACGAATGAGTGAAAAGGAAAGAAATACAAAGCTCATTCAGCCGGCAAGGGCCAAATAAACAGAACTGCTGGTTGTTATGGTGATGTCCAGCTCAAAGACGTACATAAAAAAGAGTATGGGAATGTCAGTGGTTGAGAGGTGTCAAACAAGGTAAAGAAAAATGGCATGAACGATGGCAAATGCATGAGAAAAGGCTGCTTACAGACGGCATATGCGGCCCAGGCCTATATATAAGAAACAAAAACACTCTTTTGATCTGAGCCGAGCCACTAAAAAAAGCATGATGACGCTAAGAGAGCAACAGAAGCCTATAATTCACTGAGGAGCCTATATGGTGATTAAGCCCATGTAAAAAAAAAAAATGCAAACACACACCACCCCCTCTTTCTGGCTCCTTGCACCACTTCCTGTGGTAGCAACCGCTTCCAACTGTGAAAGTCACATCTGTATAATCCCACACAAATCAGTAATCCAAGTCAGAATATGTGTCATCATGTTTAGCAAGGTCAAATATACAATCAGTAAACATGTGAAGAAGCTGATCAAGTACATGACACCCTCTCTCCCCTGTCATCAGAGCAACAATAAGTGAGCAGCGCAGGTCACAAGGCCACCCACAGCAGCCATACACCACCCCCCGCATCCATAGCAACCACATCACATGACCATCTCGCATGACCTGCCACAATCAAGCTGCATCTTTAAATTTCAACATAGCTCAAGATATGTCTGGAAAACTCCTCCTGAACTTACTGACAGCAGAATAGCAGTGTAGAAAAAGTAATCAATTTCATAGTCCTCAAATTTGTGCTGAGCGTGGCAAAAAATGGGGAGGAAATGAAACTTTTCACCTTCTTGCTCTGAGGAAAGATAGATTAAAGAAACAGGAACTAAGCAGAGCCCCTTCCTTTCCAAAGGGCAAATTCTTCAGCTATCAGATGGTTACAACACGGCGAGAGATGGAGGCCGTGCGATACCTCAACTGGGGTGTACATTTACGGTATGGAATACAACCACACCTCAAGTCACCTCCGGCTCAACCCTACAAGTCTAAATACAGTCCAAGCATGGAAGGCAGATGTGCACATTTCAACAAATAAGTCAATGTCATGTTGAAACTTTATAGCAGCACAGGAAAACAAATAGTACGGCTGTTTTATTGGAGCCACATGACAATTTTGGTTAAAGCATGAACACATAAACATTTGCATTAAGTTTAGGGCTGCGAATTATGTTGATAATCCATTAGTTGGCTGCTTATTCTTTTGATCAATCAATTAGTAGTTTTGCTCTTGACAGACCAGTAAAATATGGGATTTTTACACCTATTTCTTTAATTTACCAAAACAACGCCAAATGAAGGAATGTGATTCAATAACATCTTCTGGTGATGTGTAATAATATTGTATGTTTAATAAATTATATGTTTTGGATACATTTTATTTTTAATTTTTCAGCTCAGACTTATACACCCTCTTCCTGGCATTTTCATAATTTGGGTCTACAGTTGAATAATTGACAACTATTTAAATAATCGTTGAGGTTAGTTGCGATTGATCCATTCACAGCCCTAATGAAGAGGTAAATGAAGTGTCTTTAGAAAGCTTACAATTGGGTAAATCCTCTTGTCACTCATTCAGAGCGTGGGTTTCTGTTTGCTCACTATTGGATTTTATCACCATATCATCTAACCCTAGAGTGAAAGTAATATCTGACCATAAAAGTATATTCACAAGTCAGCAAAAAGACAATAGATCTATAGTTACTACAGAACAATAAACACCTCACTCGACAAATGCTGTATTTGCTCAACGGAAGCAAATAAATGATGAGCCGTATACGTGCCACAGAAGCACTATAGAAAACACCGAGCTCGTTTACTCGTGTCACCTGAAGCAAAACTGTAGAGGACTTGCAGACAATGGTAAAGCTGCCTGAAGGTAAAGCGTAGACAGAGTTAGCCCAGCTTTCATACAGGCTGCACCGCATTACACCTATACACCCACTCTGTGCTCTCGGGGCTGGAAGTACAAGACACCCACACAGCCGACAGGGACGTGAAGCTGCAGAGCCAGGAGAGAATATACTATATCTGCTAAAGCAACTCATCCATCATGTTAAAGTAAGTTTAATAGGTACGCAATGAAGTCGGGGTATAGAGGAAAGCTTTAATAGTGAAAATATTTCCCATAATGTCTTTGATAATTGGCGTCACAGTAAAAGCACTCTCATAAAACGTTCACTGAAGTAAACACATGCTAGAAATTGTTTTTTTAAAGTGGTTTATGCCCTTATTACTTTATCTTTCTGTGACGCAAAAGTGATGTGTTGATAATAGTACTCTGGAGCATACATATACCCTGAATGTTGACTTGATTCAATAAATATTTTTACTGACAAAAGTAAAAGTAAAAACAAAAACACAGAATCTGTTTTCTTTTGTTAAAAATGCAATTTGTATTAAAAGTCTAGTCTTTAAAACAGACAACTCCATGGTTCAATGGCAGCTCTAAAATAAAACTTTACAATCAGGTTAATTGTGTCAACATTACATAATCATCACATTTCTGGTTGAAAAAGTTCAAAAGAAAAAAAGAAAAGTATTCCTTTGATTTGAGGCTGGTCTGGAAATGAAGCGGTTTGGTGCTTTAAGAGTAGGTCTCCAGTACCTGTGCATCTAAAATATATAGATTTGTTCTTACAACAAACAAACAACGCAAATGAGCACCTGACCATTGTAAAACATACAGAAAACCACCACAGATTCCAGAACAATAAAGCCTATAGTGGCTTGAGATTCGAGAGAACGGATTTGCCAAGCCAAAGGTTCTTTCGGTGACAAGTTGGCACAAGATTTTCAAACAGCTGATTTGTTTTTGGAAAGGCACTGGACACAAGGGCCGGTGGTTTCTCCAGTTAAGGTCCTCTCACGCACTGTAGAAGTGATGAAGGTAAAAGTGGCACTCGTCAATACTCAACCAGCAGTCAAGTGTCTGACTTTGGGAAAGAGAAGGGCTAATTTTGGAGTGTTTTGCAAAGCATTGCTTAATCTGGCAAGGTTGACATGTTTGTTCAAGCCCTTACCCTGTTGTGCAGTCAATTAACAAAATAAACTCTGACTCTTATACACAAATATCCATGAGTGTCTATAAATGTGGCTCTCCTTAATGATTCCCATAAAAACGGCTTATATCCATTTGCAAGTACTGTTGACGTGACGAAACTGCAGCTGAAAAACTGGCTTCGCTGACATCACTTGTGGATACTGATCGTGCAGCCAAGACATTAGAAGCCAGAAAGATTCCTCCCTCTTCAGCCGCCCCTCCTCCTCCTCCTCTCCTGTCCCCCTGTGGCATTCCTGCTTCATTTTCCTCAAAGACCAGGGCCAGACGTGTAGAAGAGCTCAACAGTACACACTTGGTGCAAGACACTGTCACAAACACAAAACAAAAACAGTCAGTAAGGGGTTAGATATTATCACAAGTACAAGAATGAGAGCTATAAGAGTCAGCCAGGTGTATGTTACTCAAATAGTCAAACAGGAATCCCCCTAACAACTTGTCCAGCAACTTTATGTCAACAAAAAAAACGTGCACTAATCTAAAACTCAAATCCTGAACTAGCTTTTCCAGTTCCCCAAATGAGGCAGTGACTTCCCCAAAGTGCTGGCCAAACAATAGGTACAAAGCCTGCTACTGTTAACTTAACACTGGGCTTACAGGCACAAAAAGGGGCTAAGAAGTGCTGAGATAGGATGCAAAATGGGGTGCGTCACAGTAAATAATAGCATTCGTTCATGTCAAATGATCGAACTCACCATTGCACTTATAATCAAGATTTTGTGGTTGCTCGCCCTCTTAAAGAATAACACAAGAGGAACAACACTGATCGTCGCCATTTGGTGTTGAAGCATAGTTCATCTGTCGCACAATTTCAGCAAACAGTTCATCTACGGAGGTCTTGTTTTTGGCTGAAGTTTCAATGAAGGGGCAATTCCACTCGTCCGCCAGTGCCTTCCCCTCACCGGACGACACCTCCCTCTCCCCCTCCAAGTCCACTTTGTTTCCAACCAGGATCATGGGCACTCTCTCGTATCTTTTCACGCGTATAATCTGATCCCGCATGGGTTTGATGTCCTGGAAGCTCTGTTGATTAACCAGGCTGTAAACTAAGATGAAGCCCTGGCCGTTTTTGATGTACAAGTCCCGCATAGAGGCGAACTGCTCTGTCCCTGCCGTATCTAGGATCTCCAGCACGGAGGGAGAAGAGTCCACCTCGATCTCTTTCCTGTAAAAATCCTCTATCGTGGGGTCGTACTTTTCGATGAAAGAACCGGTCACAAACTGGACGGTGAGCGCGGATTTCCCGACTCCCCCAGATCCCAGGACCACGACTTTGTACTCCCTCATGGCTCAAAACAGTTTGTGAAGCCCACGGAGCAGCTAGCTCTCTCCCCCACTCACTGTTGCGCTTCAGCCGCACTTTTCACAAGCTGCGGGCGGCGAGGCTGGGGTGTGGTCGTGTGATGTTGATGTTCACGGGATAATAGCTGCGTTTGGAGCCGCATTTAGCCTTTGTTTTGTCGCATGTTGGGTCCGCTTCGACGGCTCAGCTGGTTCTTGGAGCAGCTTCCCCCGTTTTCGTTCAAGTAGCCACCGTGCGCTCCCTGTTCTCTTAGCTACAGTCAAGCTAGCGTTAGAAGCAGTATGCACTTCCGGTGTCAAAATAAAACCAGCTTAATTTCGAATGCCAAAATAAGTGCACGAAGCCTTAAAAACGCTATCAATGTTTATTCATCCACATCTAACCCCCGCTATATTACCAATAAATATGTTTTAATCTTGTATAGTATAGTGGCTACGTCGTGACAATATCATTTTATTTAATGATTTACCGTTTCCGGTTTACTCGCGTTCATTTCGGGAGCTTGTAACCGCTCAAAAGTACCGAGTGCGTTTCCTGCCCACACTCCACGCAGCCAGCGCGAGCCTGCGTCCTACGTCACGCATACACAGAGGTTGTGTTGGCTTGTTAAAGGAGCAGTGCGGGAGTTTCGCACAGATAGAGCTGCTGATGCCACACCTTGTTTCGACATTCTCTTCTGATCTTTGGCTTACTACTGCTTGAGTCACTCTGACACACTTACTGTGGGAAGTCATTCGGAATTGATTTGTCAGTCTTCGCACGTATAGTAATGACAACCGTATTACTTGGGCTGTTGCAGCTTGTATATCAAGCTGCGTTTTTGCTTTGGCCCGAAAGAGACAAAAAAGAGGTCACATCCACTTTCCATTTCCAATTATATTTATTTTTCAATATGTTTTATTTAATTACATATTTTAATGTTCAATATATAAATATATAAAATACATCATATTAAATTCCATTCAATTCAATGTATTTTGCATATCCCCAAGTCACAGCAGCAGTCGTCTCGGATGACTTTACAAAGTTATCGACTCACCAAACAACAGATCAAGGTTGATTCCTCTATCAAACTGAACATAGGAGATATATAGTAGTAAACCAGTTGATCCATATGAGCAGGATGACCAATGTCCATTAATGTTAATAAATGTTCCTAAATGATCATGGTTGTCCTTAGACAGACGATACTGTGGGCAGGGAGGCCCACAACAAGACAGGTATCTGAGGCTGTGCGGTGCAGGCCTGAGGAGACTCCCAGACCACCGCTGAAGTCATAACGACATATATTTAGGGCTAAAACAATTAAATTAATGTATTATTTATGTTGCATGTCAAGTGCACAGAACTCATTGTTCTAAAGATGGATTATTACACATACTGTATATGTATAATATTATACATTTAAGACAGTAAAATAGTATTTTTTGTCTTTTTATTATTTATTCATATGTTTTATTCATTTCAAACATGAATCATACTTCTCTTATATGCCATCCATCCATCCATCCATTTTCTTCCGCTTTATCCGTTGCCGGGTCGCGGGGGCAGCAGTCTAAGCAGAGACGCCCAGACTTCCCTATCCACACACACTTCCTCCAGCTCGTCCGGGGGGACCCCAAGGCGTTCCCAGGCCAGCTGAGAGACATAGTCCCTCCAGCGTGTCCTGGGTCTTCCCCGGGGCCTCCTCCCGGTGGGACGTGCCCGGAACACCTCCCCAGGAAGGCGTCCAGGAGGCATCCTGAACAGATGCCCGAGCCACCTCAACTGGTTCCTCTCGACGTGGAGAAGCAGCGGCTCTACTCCGAGCTCCTCCCGTGTGACCGAGCTCCTCACCCTATCTCTAAGGGAGCACCCAGCCACTCTGCGGAGGAAGCTCATTTCGACCGCTTGTATCCGCGATCTCGTTCTTTCAGTCATTACCCACAGCTCATGACCATAGGTGAGGGAGGGAACGAAGATTGACCGGTAAATCGTGAGCTTTGCCTTTCGGCTCAGCTCCCTCTTTACCACAACGGTCCGATACAGCAACCACATCACTGCGCACGCTGCACCGATCCGCCTGTCAATCTCACGCTCCATCCTCCCCTCACTCGTGAACAAGACCCCGAGATACTTGAACTCCTCCACTTGAGGAAGGACCTCTCCACCCGCCTGTAGAGGGTAAGGCACCTTTTTCCGGTCGAGCACCATGGCCTCGGATTTGGAGTTGCTGATTCTCATCCCAGCCGCTTCGCACTTGGCTGCAAACCGTCCCAGTGCATGCTGCAGGTCCTGGTTCGTTGGAGCCAGCAGGACGACATCATCTTCTCTTATATGCTTCAAATGCAATTCTTAGATAGTTAATACATTACTCAATTCACTCTAGACAATATTTGAATCCATGAATAGTCGTTTATCAAAGCCTATTGTCTGTCATTGGTATTAAACCAAAAAAATTTTATAAACATGCATTATCTTATTACATGTTGGTACACGTTTTGGTAACCTTTATACTCTATAATGAGTTGGTTCAACTGATTTCCAACATGTATGAACTGTACAGATCAAATATAGTGTCTGACTGTACCTCCTCCCTGTATATTGTGAAAGCCACTGCTTGAAATCAATGACTTTCAGCAGTGGCTTGTGGTGATTGAAACCATGCAGTTGTGACCTCATCACCTCAGGGATGATTTAGTAGTTCTGCTTGATCAATATATTTTTAATTCATCCACACAGCAGCTCAGGTCTACACGGTCAGAGGGTTTAAGTATATGACATGTCTATACTTTGAAACGAGTCTCACCACCTTCCCAGAAAAGGCAGCTGCACATTCATCTTAACGCTAAATGCTTTGAAGCAGAGTGTAAAGTTGGTCTGAGGTGAGAGTGGCAAAGGTATGCAGATTGTCATATGTTACTTTTTACAAGTGCCCCGAAGCCAAACCCCTCCCCAAATCCCATTAGAGCAACAACAGGCTGCTTCACCACGGCTGTCTCCATAAGGCCCCGTGGTAATAATGCATGTAATGATGTGGATTGTCAGATGTGTGAGAAGGATCACTCCAGTGGTCTGTCCTTTCAGGAGACGCCGAGGTCGCTACATGCCACAGTAGTGATAATTAGTCACTTGTCTTCACTGGAGGTCATTTTATGTCAGGGCCTGCATAATTAGATTTAGCCAAGTTACACTCTCAGCCAATTAGAGCTGCATTCACATTATATACATTTACAGTAATTAGTGGTCCCTTGCATTGATAGTGTTTTACCACAGGCTCTAACATTATTTTATTACTAATAGATATATATTTTTAATGTGGACATTTAAGTTTAAAAAAATATAGATTAGTCACCTTTCAGGATTTACATGTTCTGTGTCCAGCCAAGTCAATCTTCGCACATAGCAGACAGAAACTTATTGACTCAGTTCTTTGGCATGTTTGACTGTGGAACAAAACAAAGACATGCAGTGCTTCAGATAATAATGTTTTAGCAGTAATAGAGATATAACAGGGGTCCAAAGTACAAAATATGTAATTTAGGTTCCATTAGGTTCCACGTGACATTAGAGCGTATTAGGAAATAATGAAAGAAAACTAGGAATTCAGAAAAGGGAATTCATAAATCAGAATACACAACAAAATCATGAATCATTCATTTAATCTTGATCTGCCATAGAGATCTGAAACCTGCAGTATCAAATCTATGACATTTTGGCTATCTTTATATTCAATTCCATTAGTTTAACAGAGGGTTTGTTAGTTTATATAAATGCATTAATGCATATCCTCTGCTATAAACCTCAATAAAATGAACTGAAACTGTTAAAGAACTGGTCCCATGATCAAATGGTAGCTGCGGAGAGTGTAATTCACACTGGGGCAGGTCTGGAAAGTCACAAGAGACTCATAAATTAATCCACAAACACTGACTAATTAATGATTCCCAAAAGTACTGTGCATGATAGCGCAATACATTTCACATGTATATATGTGTATAATTTGGATCAGCTACAAAAAAGATCATAAACTGCCCTTATTTCTAAACATGTTCCCATAATGACAAATTCACTACCCATGAACTTGTCTTATTGGGGATATTTTCATGGGTTTTATCCAGGGTTTAAGTCTTAGTAGCATGTGCATATAGTTTTGATTTTTAATGAATAATAATAATTATTATTATGAATATTTAATTGGAACATCAAGGTCCATAGACATACAAATGTACAGATCTTGCACTTAACCTTTCAGTCCAGCAGAGGGCAGCCATCTTACACGCTGTAGTTGTCAGACAGTTGGTGGATAAAACAGTTGGAAGGCAGAGATTTTCAATGAGGTGTGAGTATCCAGAGTGTGTGGTATGTTACAGCTGCAAAAGAAATGAGAAGAGATTGCCCATAGCACATGCATTGTTTATTTGTGCAAATGAACACTTTGAAGTCAGTATGTGGCACAATACACAAAGTTTAATTCAATCTCTTACCCTGATCCAACAGCACTGTAGTGCTAAGCTGTTGATTCATGTAAAAAGCCTTTGTCAAAAATGTACGACCGTCCTGCAAATGCCTCGACTATTGTCCAAAATGAATGAAAACGGCTCTCTGCATTTGTACAATCAAACGGAATTCTAAAATCCAATGTTGGAGATAGAAAGAGAGCCACAGGAAGGACACTTGGTCTTTCATGGAGGCCACAAAGCAGCCTTTCATGTGTGGAATCTGGCCCACATTAATAATACATACAGCACTGTACAGGCGACTGCAGGGGTGAAAGGTGCAGCGGGGGTCCCACAGAGAAGCCTGACATTCTGACTTCCTCTGCAGCTGAGAGAGCCACCCTGACATGTGCCCACAATATTAAGTTGAGTTTCTTATAGGCTTCATGATGATTGCTTTCAGTGCGTCTATATACCAGTGACACTGTTGTCCTGCATGTTGATACATCCTGTGCAGAGGAATTTACTGGTGATTTCTCCTTCTCTGAGATAATTCTTTGTGTATG